CTTTTCCTTCACAGAAGTAACCACGTCGTTAAGTTCCTTCTTTGTTGCAGCTAGTTCTTGCTGCAAGGCTAAGACCTCAGTGTTTGTCTTCTGTTCATGTTTCAGTTGGTCCTTTTCTTTTGTCGAATCAACCATATCATTAAGTTCCTTCTTTGTCACTGTTAGTTCTTGTTGCAAGGCTAAAATCTCAGCATTTGTCTTCTGTTCATACTTTAGTTGTTGGTTCTCATCCCTCATTGAATGAACTAGGTGATTAAGTTCTTTATTCCCTTCTACAAGTTCTTGTTGCAAAGATGAAACTTGAGTGTTCTTCGTCTCACAGTTGACATTTTCTTGCTGTGAAGACGATGAGGGTTGGTTGTATGCATGCTCCTTTTCTTTTAACAATTTGACCATGTCATCGTATACGGTCTTCGTTGTTTCGAGCTCCTCGCGTAGCCTAGCAAGTTCAAGATTTGCTTGTTCCTTTTCTTTCAACAGCTTCGCTATCTCGTCATTCACCTTGGTCTTCTCTTCTACCTTTAACTTGACACCCTACAAGAATTTTACTTAGCATTATTAAATCTGAACAGAAAACTTGAAATTAGAGGAGTTGAGAGGGTTTTACCTTAATGGGTGGAAGCTGATCCATGACAATCTGCAACAGAAATTGATACAAGCCAAGTTATGAACACAAATGAACGTGCTACCCAAATGCATGTATAGTTTTGTATCCTCAAACTATGTACCACACATTGTAAAATTGGTGAGCCTGGCATACCCCAGTATCTTCACCTGTCCCAGAAGCAAGCGTCTCAAGAACCCTAATCCTCGACTGATACTTCTCCTCACGTGCCTTGAACAGGTTGTTTTGCTAACGCCATACGAAACAAAGATTCAGCAGTAGGGAGAATGACAGAAGCCTTACTAGGGTTAACAATAAGAGAAATAAGGCCTTACTGTTCTCAGGTGTTCTGCTTGAGTGGATATCCTCCTTTCAATCTCCTGAACAACCTTTCTTAGCAGGCAAGCCACCCGCTGCTCAACCACAAAATGGGACACACCATTTAAACAACTATCCAGACATGTACTAATTGTATTGACATTATTTAAATCATGTTTACACATATACATTGATGTGTCATTTGCATACATGAGGGATTTCACCATTCTTTTTGTCGATGCTTTCGTCCAAGATCCCATTCACCACACTCAACAACGATTGAGTAGGAGCATTCTGCATAATAACATAACAACAACTCACAAATGACAACGATATGATGATAACGTCATAATGTATACATGATTAGTGATATCAGCTAAATTGACTGCAGGAAGAAGCATTACATCCAAGCTGGTAGATTTCATCATCTCTGATATCTTCGAAGGCGATAGGTCAGCATAACGTCCTTGTCTGACTTGGAACACCTCATGGAACCGATGTCCAGCGTGGTGCATCCACGCTGCAGATGAGTCTACATCATCCCCAGAAAAGATACACACAGATTAAACAACAAGAAGAAGAAACAAGCTACAGTTTTAACTGTTTCTTCCAGTAGCTAGCTTGAATTTACCTGAAAGGGCAGGACTAGTACGCAAGAACTGCTGCAACTTGGAGTCAGAGGAGAGTGATTGCCTTTCTGCTCCAGGCGATGAGAGTGACGATGAGAACGGACCAAGATGAAGGCTCTGGTAAGGAGAGAACTCCCTTAGGCTCCCACTTCTGGTCATTCTGCCACTCGTTGGAAAGCCATTGTTCCTTCCTGTTGGGTACCTTGCTCTCAGTGATAGCAGGCAATCCACCACTCTCTTAAGAGAACCCTTTTACACATAGTAAATCCATAATTCATCTCTAGTTACCAATCATGGTACATTTATAGTAAATTTTTTTTAACTTGCTACATGTAGTTTGAAGGTACCTTCTCCAAGTCTGCAATCTCAAACTTGGGGATCCCCCTTTCATTGATGAGGTCCAGAAATCGTTGAACATTCTGGTGAGGTGATGCTTTCTGACCCTCCAAACTTCCATCCTGCAATATTCGCAAGGCAGAAAATTTACCAACATGATCAGAAAAGGTAACTCCATAACTTGCCTGGTTATTCACTGCAATCCAAGTGACGAGATTTACATCTTCTATGATGGATCCTGGCCTGACTTTCTTCAAGATCTTCAGAAGAACAGTGCCATCACTAAGGCAGTCTCTCAGCTCTTCAACTGAAGCTTTTGGTGGTAGTTTCAGATCAGGTAGAATGGTAGTAATCCACTCTATTAGCACAACTAGCTTCCTCTCTATTGAACAAGAAATGAATGATGAGATTTGATTAGCAGTGAGAAAGATTGATTAAGAAAGTGGTTAAGTAAAACAACAATTATGTTTATTTGGTCTGATGTTGCTTGCTTGCTTACCCTCGGTGTCATGATCAGAATCGAGTAGTGGAGTTGGTTGAGAGAAATCCCAGTCAGTAGTTGGAAGTTGTTTGGCACTGTTGACTCTGCTGAATTGTCTCATTAGGTAATCTGATGAACTGGTAGTCATTACACGTTTCCTTGAGGCACATCTAGCTTGCCTTCACTCTCTAGCATTCACTAATTGAAACAAAGTAAAGGTTAAAAACAATGAGTTCGATGCAGGGACTATCATTGATGGAATGATAGATAGGCACTATAAATACAATCAGAGAGTTGGGTTCAATGTAACATCATGTTCAGAAAAGGAATATGGTACTTACTTGTGTTAAACAACCAATATTTACACAATATACCTTCTTTTTTATGTAATTTCGTATTTAATTCACGCAAATATAATCAAATTTGGAAGCTTGCAAATCATTTTCTAGACAATTTATCATTGATTCGCGTGAGTAAAATATCTATCATGTTCCAATTTTTTTGACAATGGTTTGAAGATGTGACATAAGAGACAAAGATAGAGATTTATAATGAGCCAGAATTAGTTTTCCATAATTAACTCTATGTCCTTAAACTACAAGAAGAACTCCTCGTCTCAAGGGCAATCACTGTTCTAATCATAACATTAAGAAATGGAACTGCCATCACTAATTCATGTCGACTAAAGTACATTCTTTTACATGATTCATTTAGAAAAGAATTGCATTCATGATATCTTGTATATATACAACCTACTCATTTTATTTTTGGCGACATTTCCTCGTCGAATATACAACTCCTGTTTAAGCAATCCAAAAAATAAAACAACGACAAATGAGAAAGGACAAACAAAAATGGTTTTGTATACTACTATGTAGGCAACTTCATATGGAGAACAAAAAAGTAATACACATTAGCATCCCGATTGTGCTAGCTACTGTATTGGCGCAAAGGCTGACCCCATCAAACAACAACATTTTCTCATGTGTTTACGTCGTTATCTGATTCTAATTAATATAACCATTTATGGTTCTAGATATTGAATTCCCTTTTTAACATTGTTTGTTTGAATGAGAAACTAGATGAAACAAATATCAGGGGAACACAAATCGACTCCAAAATAAGAAAGATGAAGATAGTGAATTCCAGAGATGGGTGGGCGAAGAAGGAGAAGCTGACCTGAAGAAAGCGCAAGCTAGGACACAGATTCTGAAGACGATCTATAGATTGACAGCTACCTTTCAACAACCAACAGATTGTGTTTCGGGTTTTTTTTTCTTTCCCCTTTCTTTCCCCTTCTGCAGGTTCTGTTCTCTCAGGAAATTTTTCGTTTATGGGTTTTCTCCAGTTATTTTGACTTTGTGAGGAATGGTTTCTCTGATAATTTTCTGTTGTGTGTAATCAATCAATAGAAAGGCGGAAGAAGGGATAGGGAAAGAGAAAAAGGGCGGGAACTTAGGAAGAAACAGAGAATTCTGTATGCATCTAAACTTCTCTCCCGTCATCTACGCTCTACGATTGTATACGAATGGCTTCCGGTATTCGTGCTACATCTCCAATACATGTATTGCTATACGTATCCTCTCAATGTTATACCGCGTAATTAATGTATTTTTTTATGTTACTAGTGAAACAAAACTTTCTCAAACCCATCAAATGCATGTTGCCTGTATGGTCAATGGCTACATTTGTCCCCCGTTGAAGTGTTAGGGTAAAATTACATATTTTGTGAACCATTTAGAACAGGGAATCAATATAGGTCGGTTGATCGGTTCAGTCATCGGGTCAAACGCAATGCACTAGTGGGTCAATCTATTTATTAAGTTGGGATAATTATTATAAACGGTCACAAATCATTACAATTAGTACAAAATGATCACAAGCCTTTAATTTGTAAGGATTCGACAACATATTTTTTAGTGGATATCAAAATGAACATTCCGTCATTTTTCATCCAACTTTATGTTAGATTTATCGAGTCAGCATTCCACCTCATCAATATGATTAATAAACAAATATAGTTTAGTATATGAAGGCTTTGAGGATTCATTCTCCGACAAAAGATGTAGCGGTCAGGAGAAAATGCAACCGTGGGGACTCTCGGTTAGCGGCAGGGGTTGCTTGGGAGAAGAAGCGGCGAAAGGGATTGCCGATTTGGGGAGTTGATCTGGAGAGGCTGGAGGAAGGCAGTTGTTGGAGGTGGAGAGAAGTGAGGTCGAGTGTAGGGTTTCGAAGGGGAGGGGTTGGGGAGTCTCAGGGTTAAACGTAAAAGCAAAAGAAGGAAAAAGGAGGTCACCAGGTCTCGAAGACCCAACCTCATTAAAGGCTTCCGCGAAAGACGAAAAAATGGAGAAAACCCCTCCTTTGATTTTTTGGAACCCACTTTTTTCGTTTTCTTCAGACGATGCTTTTTTTTTCTTCTTACAATTAATTGTCACAAATGAAAAAATCAAAGCAAATACATTTTATCTTCTTCATTTTTTTCAAATTTTTGTTGTGGCAACCGAAAACAAATATCAAAAATAAGAAATGAACGGGGCCTAAAGAGGATGTCTACAGGGAATTGTCAAATGAAAGAACTAACCTCCATCCCTAAACTGATATGCCATTTTAACCATTTGACAGAAAAATCACAGGGAAAAAAAAACACTAGCTCCATGGTGGATTGGAGCCTAGCTTAGCATCAAGAAACAGATCCCTGATGGATTGGAGCCCAGTATGACTTCCAATTTGAGCGTTAGACAACTCCCAATCAGGCTAGCAACTTATGGACTGGAAGACTGCAAAAGCCCATATCTCCAATATCCTGAAAGCCCAACGTCCCCAACTTGGAGAACATCAGCCAGCGGAGTAGCGAAGAGAGAGAGAGAGATTATCAGAGAGAGTACACCCACTGCGACCAGAAGCGCACAGCTAACGGAGCGAGCGAGATCATCAACCTTCACCGCGCAAAGAGACCATGGGGAGGAAGAAGGGCGTCGCCGAGTTCGAGGAATCGCCGCCGGATGACTTCGATCCGTCCAATCCGTACAAGGACCCCGTGGCGATGCTGGAGATGAGGGAGCACATCGTGAGGGAGAAGTGGATCGCCATTGAGAAGGCCAAGATTCTGAGGGAGAGGCTCCGCTGGTGCTATCGCGTCGAAGGTGTCAACCACCACCAGAAATGCCGCCACCTCGTCGAGCAGTACCTCGAGTCTACTCGTGGTATCGGCTGGGGAAAGGACCATCGCCCTCATTCATTTCACGGTTTGACCCCTCTCTCTCTCTCTATCCCTCCGATCTTTGTTGTTTGGGATTTTGAGATTCTGATTTCCTGCGGTTTATTTCGTTTCCTTGAATTGAATTTTCCTGGCTTCGTCTTTTCATTTCTGGATTAGGTCCCAAGGTGGAAGCCGTGGAATCCGAGGAGTAAAAGGGTTGCTTGTTCTCAAGGTAATCTTTTGGCCTTTGTATTCTGAATTTCTCCTTTTCAATGCGGACTATTTCCCAGTTGAGTTCTGATGATATGGATAACTATGCTTTGGGGAAATGTTGTTTCTTTGGTCGTAGAACAATTTCTGAATTTGAGTTGTGTGAGAAAAGTGAGCTCATCCTGATAGTTTTGTTGGGTGATTCTGGTTTGTAGTTTGAAATGTTGTTTCAGCAGTGGAGTCGCTTGAAGTGTTTGTTCGGTGGAAGTGCGGAATGGGTTAATGTGGTAGTGTAACCTTATGTGAAAAGAAAGGAAATTCATCTTTAGCCAATTTGAATTACTCCTAGGTTCTCTTCTAAAAGTCGACTGTCCATTTTAGCTCAATGAACATGCTCTGAAGAATTTGTTGACAACACTAGGCTTATGATAGAGATTTTGAGGTGATATTTGGATGTGAATAATTATGGCCATAAAGTCTCCATGAGTATTTATGTATTTGGGTATTATGTTGGAATCGAAACCAGACAGTGTAAAAAGAAGATCATGACTAGCAAGCCAATTGTTAGTTTTGACGTAAACTTGTCTTAGTGGTGGTGGATCATGCTGTTTATTTTGTTTAATGTGTGGCTAATCGAATCATGAATCGTCATCCTGTATGTATTGAGTTAGTCTGTTGATTGTGGGAAGTTTTTTGGTTTCTTTTAGAATTGATAGCAAGAGTTCACAATCGCTCTTAGACTTATCACAGTTGGTGGAAGGGCAAGTAAATATAAATATCTGCTTAATTAGTTAATTGTGAAGACCAATGTTAAAAGAATGTATTGAGATTCAGAAATCTGTAATCATGCTCGAGGAGGATAAATAAAGCATCCATGTTATGTAAACATGTTAACCTAAGAACTACTAATGGATGATGATGTTATGCATATTTCTAAAACATGAAACATTGTGCATTGTGGGCACCCCAATAGATGACTCTACCCAGTCAACTTTTTCAACTAGAAAGAAGTCAGGCTCATTTGAATGCTTCATATAGGGATTTTGTGCTATGAAAGGGTAGATACTCCGTAACTTATTTGTATTGACCTTGCCGTATGTGAGCTCCTTTTTGTTAGAAGATGAAGAAACAAAGAAACAAAAGGTTACCCAGATTTTGGTTCCGCATAGAAATATAATAGCGCTGTTCTGCATTTTCTTGTAGATGTTATAAGAATGTGGTCTGCACATTAGTGGTTAACCCAATTTTATTTGTGCACTTTAGTCCAAGCCAAGTAACCCAGTTGATTAAGATGTACAGTTTAATTATGCCTCTGAAAAATGCAATTCCCATCTTTTCTGAAACAGAAAAGAAGGTACCTCCTCAAACAGGAGTGTGGATTATTATCACATCTAAATTGAATTTTTATTGAGCTAGTCAGGCATCAAAAGGGGGCAGGTTATTGGTCACTGAGCCCCATTACGAACATCGTGTTTTCTTTTGCTTTGGCTAAGAGATTTCTCCTGATTCTGTTTCGTGCCTGAGAAAAGAATGCTTCTGCAGTTCTTCATGTTAGCATGTGATTGGTCGTGTTCTTCAAAATTTCCAGTCTCTCTTTTCTTTCCTTCTGATGCCTGCATGAGGGTGGCACAGGCTAGCTACTTTTGTGCATATGGTTATTTAGTATGAATGTTGTTTTATAAGGATGACATAAGTTCATATTTATAGTTAGGTCTTACTGAAGTGATTCTAACCTCAGAGGCTGGGACCTCCAGGTTCAAGACTAGAATGTTGCCACATATTAAAAAAAAAATGTTGCATTGACTGGGAAACTTGTGTTCTTTTTCTCCTATCTGAATGACAATCATGTGAAGTTATTAACTCAGGGAATCGGACCTCGTTCTAATTTCTGAACCAGAGAAACTTAAGTCCTTGTTACTTTATTTCTCTTGCAGATGAGCCACATTGCTGGGAGATCAATGCTGGACACTGAAGGAATGCAATCCTTTACGATTTTAAGTTAATGTTTTTTTTTTTTTTTTTTTGCTTCTCTTGGCCCTTGACTATATATCCACACAATCATTCCTCATCTCTCCTGTAGTGTACCGCTGCCTTGAACTTCCAGGCTGGGATTCTGTCATAATGGGAATCACATGTTTTGTGTGGATAAACCTTCTCGATGAATGGATGCTGCTTTCGAAATGTTACTATGTTCTGCTAATCGTGCGAGGCGGGTATTACCCTCGTCGCCTGTGGAGGCTGAGATCTCAGTGACATGACCTTTGCTGGATTATAGGTGCTCGTCGAGTTGAGAACTGATTGAACATGACTTCTTTTCGTGGATTATAGGTGCTCGTCGAGGCGATAACTGATCGGACATGACATCTTTTGGTAAACTAGTGTTAGCAGAATCAGTTCGGTTCGTGCTTCAACCTGTAATCCATCTGCAACTGCATCCATATCTACAAACGTTGAACTTGCAACGTATGGTGCAAAGTATGAAAGACAATATCCGCCATTGGTTTGGACCGTTTGCATAGGTAGGAAATGGAGTTCGTTGAGACTTGGGGTTGGGGAGGGGATTCAGTTGTGAAACTAACTAATTGACTCGAGCAAAACACGAACGAGTTTGCCAAATGGTAACCAAAACCAGCTGGTGGTGTGAAGAATGAATGAAAGCCAACCAACTTTCGTTGATGGCGTGTGACTTTGTGCTTATGAAAGATTCATGAGCAGGAAAAAGCTTACACTGTCAGAATATATTCACTTGTTTGGACATTAAAGATTATGTACCTTCTTAGGTGTCATCACGTGAACCTACTTTTCACATGATTTGACCTCTCCATTTGTAATTTTTTTTAGTAAAATATTAATTTAATTCATATAAAATGTTTAGGTACATACTAAATGTCGCGATATTAGCAAATTCGATAAATATAATTTGTTGCGTTAGGCAGATGTAAATATTCATATACATATTTAGATATTCATGTAAATATCATCGTTTCGCTTTGGTTTGATTTGGATTTCGATTATCAAATACATAAATGAAGATGGTGACGGAGTTAAAAGGAAAATTGACTTGTCCATGAAGGACTAGGTTTCTAATATCTTGTTTATTTTATCCAATGGGCTAGTAGTGTCACTGCAACATTTAAGGTTAGGTTTGGTGATTTTCTAGGCGTAGGGGTCGTTTGGATGAATCACTTGAAAAATGAGATAATTTGGTCAATTATCTGTTTCCACTCCAGCCAATTAAAATTGTCTCAAAACGAGTCAATTCAAAAATTTCCAAACTAAATTGTTTCATCCAAATTTTATGCCGCCAAATGTGTTAATTTGGCCCAATTATCTCAAAACGAGACCATTGAATCAAATTGATGTGTTAAAATTCCTCACCCGTAATCAATTTACATGTTACGACATTTTGGAATCTCCTTTTCTGATTATGTGAATAATGTAAGGAATTTAGCACAATCAAAATAATTGGGTAGGCGTGGCCGGGTGGGGGGAATGACACTAGTTCAAATAAACTACCACATATTTTTTAAGTATAATTTTTTATGAAAATAATTGGAATGTCATTATTATCTCTTAATTATAAATTGTACGGACGGTGAAATCGTCAGGTTGGAGGGTCATCTTATTCACTCATGTAATTAAACAAATGAAGGTTTGCTTAAATGCAGAGAATCCAACTTAATGGCCAACGTGATTGAGTTGAAAACGGTGATTTGGCCCTCTAATCATTCAATAGAATAGGGAATCATTCAATAAAGTAAAAGTTCCTTAAAACGAATGATTTGACCCAGGAGAATAATTAATTACAGCCGTTAATTATTAATCATCAGAAAGAGACCTACGGCTACTGCCTACTAGTTGATTCCCTTTTATAACAAATAATTAAGCGTAAGCACTACGGGTTCCTTTTTAATTAGTTAATTAAAGACTTCCACTTTAAAACTCAACAAGGGAGGGATTACGTCCATCCATAGTAGCAGAGGAGAGGAAATGATATATAATAAATTCAGTCTGAATGAAATTGTACGATATCAACGATTCCCCCGAAATCTACATTTATTCGAGGTTTTTATCACTATGAAATGATTGAACTTGATAGTTACATGTTTAAATCTCTTAAATAATACCTAACTTTAAAAAAAATTATATCACCAATTCACCATTATATATGTACAATACCTTATAATTAACTTTTTCAAGTACAATTACCACCTGATACGATATAAAATTCCTTTTTTTTTGTATATATATATATATATAACTAAATATGCCTGGAAGTGGAAGGTTTCTCAAACAAAGCTGGCAGCTCAATTATTTTATATTATGAATTGTGATGATAGATTAAAGTAATTAAATTGAACAAGAGAAGAGAGCACGTAGAAAGAAATAGGACGTGAGTAGGGCTGGGAAGAACGTCTCTCTCAACCAACCCATTGGTCTCCGTCGCTGTCTCGCCACTATTCCGCATGCGTAATCATCGATGCAATTTATTTTAGCATAAGATATTTCTTTTTCTTTTTTTCTTCCACAGGACAGTAGTAATTGGTTCCCCCGCTAGTGTGCACTCATCAGAGCTCTCTCTGCCTATATATATATATATATACACAGTCCAGTCCTCCTCCTCCTTCATTCTCACATTCATCATCAATTCCTCAGAAGAAGCAAGCTGGCTGGCTGGCTGGCTGGCTGTAGCGCAAAAAAAAGGGGGAGCTCCCTTTAGTTCAATGAAGGGGGCAAAGAAGCGGCAAGAGCTGCCATCTCATGCATCTCCCGGCCATGCTAAATTAATTCAATGAAGGTGGTGAAGCGTGGCCCAGGGTGCATGGGATTGGGGAGCAACTCCCTTCCGCTTTCGCTTTGCTCGCCTATTGGACTGAAGGGAGCTCCATTTCTCCACTCTCCCACCACTCTCTTTCCTTTCCAGCCTGCTGCATTTCTTTCCCGATGGATCTGTTTATATGTAATGTGATTTCTTTGCTGCTTCTGTGCAGGTAAGGATGGATTCTTCTGCGCGCGGCAGCACCAAGTTGGCTTCCTTCCTTCCTTCCTTCTTTTTTTCCTTCAATAATGTCGTCTTCTTCTCCCCTAGCTCAGTCGTCTTCCGTCTGCTTCGTGAGCTAATTAATTAATTATTACTGTAGTTTTGATTTTTTTTTTTTTTTTTTGAGAGATGTAAATAATTCTCTTTCTTTAAGGGAGTGCGGTGGCCGCTCCCTCCCATCTTGATAATGGAGGATGATTAATGAAAGGGTCTAAAGAATCCCTTTTTTATTTTTATAGCTAGTAGGCTGCTAGAATTTTTTATTATGGAAGATCGGAGAAGAATTCTGTTTGATTGATTGGGAAATAAGTGATGAATTAAAGAGTATATTGCTCAGTATTTAACTATTTATAGTCTAGCCTAATGAGGAGAGAGAGAGAGAGAGAGAGAGAGAGAGATTTATGAGCGGGAAAGCTTAATCCGTAACTCACACTAACTAACCTATGACTATTTACATTTTAATCATCTATCTGTTGTAAGCTTACATCCTGGTCTTATATTCTAATGCCCTCCCACGAGCTTAAACTTGAATTGATTTCATGTTTGAGCTTGGAAATCAGATCAATGAAAAGTGTGTACACGGGTAAAGCTTTTGTGAAAGGGTGTGCGAGCTGAAGTAGTGTTGTGATGTAACGTAGGAGTCTATGAGTAGCTATTTCATGATTAGTGGTAGGAGCATTGACTAAGTCAATTGACAATATAACATATGTCAGATCTGCACTCTTTCGAGGTGCAATGATAAAAATTCCATTCGTTTATGCTGGGAGTAGAAATAACAATCCTACTCGATTGACCTTCATTTGATCGAACAACGTGATGGCTCAAGGGAGAAATTCAAAGGGTCCTTGTCGCCCATTAGTTCAGGTAAATGCTTTGACACAAGGTGGGATCTAACGAAATAAGAAATCGACAGCTCATATGCTACCAATCATCGAGGGATGCATGGTTAAGAGACCTAGTGGGAGCTTGCATATGCAACACCTTAGATTTACTTTTCTACTCCTCTTTAATTTTCGAGCTCTTACGTTCTGCAAAACCGGAGGCACTCAACCTCTTAAACCCGTCTCTTCTTCAATAGAATCCTACTTCGCAGCCGAAGTAAGGGTTTTGCAAGAGACCCTAGGGAAATATAATCCTACCATTAGGGCCAGGTGAATTTGGTCTGCACTACACGACAGATCAAATTATTGGGCCGTTGTCGGGGACATCTCGCAAACTTCAGAAAAGAGACGAGGTAAGGTTCTAAAATCTTTTTCTTTTCTGTTAGATCGTGTGTCTATTTTGAGTCGAGTGTAGTTAAGGTAGAACCGTAGCCTCGAGAGCAGTTTTCTTTCCTAAAATAGAGGTGACTCGTCCCGAATATCACAATTAATTTCCGCCTAAGGTCCAAGTATAAACCTTAGCCGGGTGCAATACATGGCAAGTATGTTTAAATATCGACTCGGGTCGGTCCGTATATCCCTACTTCAGTCATTTGAATCATTATCTAGCAAATTGATTTTGGTTGAAAAGTTTGCTAATTAAAGTAAAGCAAGGCAAAAGTAAATGGTTTTGAAAGCTCTTTGTGAGAAGGATCACTCGGGTGTCGCTTCCCCCTAAATACTACCGTGGTATGTGAATCGAAGTGATTGTTCTGGGCAAGGTGACCGCGAACTGCTAGGGGACGCACATATGGTCGTAGACCACACTCTCGATTGCCAAACCGAGGGATACATTATAGGCTCCTCAAGTGGCCCTCTCGGTTAAGGCAATCGATGGTTGACTTACTCCCTCTCTCAACCCAAGGGTTGGTCATCTAAATCGCGCTTAACCAAATTGTTTACTCCAACATCAAGGTTTGCCCCAAATTAACCTAGATAGGTGACTTAAAAAGCCCTAGGAATCCCAACTCAATTGAGCCTCCCTTGAAAAGGGGGGGTTTCCCTCTCTAATCTAGGTTAAGTTGGCCAATTAGATTGGTAAGCACAAACATGCACAATCAACATGAAAAATACCTCAATCATGGAATTAAACAAAACCCATGAACAATCATTCAATTCACATAACAAAAACTACATGGTAAATAGTTAGGGTTTCACAACACCCAAGTGAAAAGAGGAAACTACTCCATGCTAGAAAGGGGAGAAACACAAGGGGAAGAGGTAGAAACCATCATGAAGATGCCTCCAATCTTCTTTGCACTTATGATGATCTTCTCTTGAGGAGAATCTTCCTAATTTACCACTTGGAGCACACCCTAGCCTTCCTTCTCATTTGGCTCATTC